CCGCTTTCACCGATGAAACATCGGTCAATGTTTTCGCCTCGCTTGGCGAGAGCAATGGCAGCGAGGCAGCAGGTGAAGAAGTCTGAATTGCACCAGAAGGTCTGCGAAAAAAAGCTTCTGGAGTCTTGCCTTCGCTTGATCCGACACCGGGTCCCGAAGAGAGTGAGGAATGCGGACGTAGATGTCATTGTCGGGAGACGGTGCAGCAAAAGTGCAGTAAACACCAGGCTGCCTGTCGTACAGCAGCGACACATCCACGTAAGCTACGCCTGGCCGACGACGGGACGGTGTTTCGCACCAAGCAATCAAATAACGAATCAAGGCTCTCTCGTCCAGGAGGTCTCGCTGCAACTAAATTAACGAGCCCGGGCCTCCCTGCAATACTAAATTACGAGCCCGGGCCTCCCTCAATACTAAACTACGAGCGCGTGCCTGGAAGACCCCCCCCCCCCGGAATTAAAACACTTGAAATACTTGAAGTACTTGAAATAGCAAATCCCCCGATTTTCTATTTCAAGTGTTTCAAGTGTTTTAAAACACTTGAAACAAAAAATCGGGGGATTTCTATTTCAAGTGCTTTAAAACACTTGAAATACTTGAAATAGAAAATCAGGGATTTTCTATTTCAAGTGTTTCAAGTATTTCAAGTGTTTCAAGTGTTTTGAATCCCCTCCCCCCCCTCCCCTCTCAGAGCCGTCCCGGGACTCCCCCCAATACTAAATTACGAGCCCGGCCTCCCCCCAATACTAAACTACGAGCCCGGGCCTCCCCCCAATACTGAATTACGAGCCCGGGCCTCCTCCCAATACTAAATTACGAGCCCAGGCGTCCTCCCAATACTAAATTACGAGCCCGGGCCTCCCCCCAATGCTGAATTACGAGCCCGGGCCTCCCCCCAATACTAAATTACGAGCCCGGGCCTCCCCCCAATACTAAATTACGAGCCCGGGCCTCCTCCCAACACTAAATTATGAGCCCGGGCGTCCTCCCAATACTAAATTACGAGCCCGGGCCTCCCCCCCAATACTAAATTACGAGCCGGGCCTCCCCCCAATGCTAAATTACGAGCCCAGGCGTCCTCCCAATACTAAATTACGAGCCCGGGCCTCCCCCCAATACTGAATTACGAGCCCGGGCCTCCCCGCACTACTGAATTATGAGCCCAAATTACGAGCGAGACGCCCCCCCCCCCCCCCCCCCCCCCCGAATTAAAACACTTGAAATACTTGAAATACTTGAAATAGAAATCCACCGATTTTCTATTTCAAGTGTTTCAAGTGTTTTAAAACACTTGAAACACTTGAAATAGGAAAATCGTGTGATTTTCTATTTCAAGTGTTTTAAAACACTTGAGATACTTGAAATAGAAAATCGGGGGATTTTCTGTTTCAATTACACCTGTCCCGACAAAGGAGATACCTCACATAGACCCTAAAGGTCCTTGCCACATATATATATATAGAGAGAGAGAGGCAGTGTTTAGCATTTTAGGGTTACGGCTCAGAACTCTATATTATATATACATATATATATATACATATATGTATATGTATATGCATACATGCATAAAGAGTTTAGGGTTAGCAAACAAACAAAACAGCATCCTGCATGGTGCCCACAATGGCATGCCTCCGGCGCCAGGGCCTCCGCCGACCCTCGCGGAAGTGCGCCTGAGGAGGGGTGTAGTCGGGTCTTAGTGTACGGTGTTTAAAGTCTAGGGTCTAGAAGTTTAGGGTTTAGGGTGTAGAAATTTAGGGTTTTGGGTGTAGGAATAAAAGGCTTAGTAGGTTTTATTGTTGTAAGGTTATAGGGGATGAGGCCCACCCACCCACCCCCCTTCCATACCGTCTTGCGCACAGCTAGAAAACAAGCATCAGAGAGGGTGGGGGAGGGTCTATAACCTGTAAGCCCTGTCTCCCCAACAGCTTCATGATGTTTGCATTGTGCCCCTAATCCCTAAACCCTAAACACTAAACCCTAAACCCGTCCCAATAGTTGTCGCCAGGGTTCAACACTTAAGACATTTGGGGAAACTCAGTTGTGCCTGCAACCGTTCCAAGCGGCTTCTGAGGAGGTTACAACGAAACGAAGTCTAACCAAATCCTAAACCCTAAGCCCTAAACCCCAAACCCAAAACCTAAACCCTAACAGAAGGGCCTGCCAGGGGGCCCGCGTTTTTACATATGTCTCAATGCAAAGACCTTTCGCTTGGAGCCAGCTAGAACACAAAACCCTTACCACCCTAAACCCTTAAACCCTTAGACCCGGTAACCCTTAGGCCCTTAAACCCTTACAACCTGAAACCCTTAAACCCTTACACCCTCAAACCCTTAAACCCACGGTTCTAGCAACCCTACACACCCTAAACCCTAAACCCTAAACCCTAAACCCTAAACCCTAAACCCTAAACCCTAAACCCTAAACCCTAAACCCTAAACCCAAGGTCTGCCTGGGTCCTGAAGAGCTGTGGCCAGGTGCGCCCAGGCCGACAGAAGCCACGTGGCCTTCACTGCTTCGGAGCCCGGGGAAAAGGGGGGGGGGGGGGGCGGTGTAGATGGGTGTAGGGTTGAGGGTTGAGGGTTGAGGGTTGAGGGTTGAGGGTTGAGGGTTGAGGGTTGAGGGTTGAGGGTTTAGGATCGGGTAGGGTTGAGGGGGTTGAGGGTTTACAGGTTTAGGGTGTAAGGGTTGGGGATGGATAGAGGTAGCTGAGGGGGCAGTTTGCTGGTTTAGGGTTTAGGGACTGGGGGTCTAAGGTTTGGGATCTTGGGCATCAGCGTTTCGGGACAGCCATAGGACATCTTCAATTAACAACCCCCCCCCCAAAAAAAAAAAGGGGGGGGGGGGAAAAAAACTCCTAAGAGCCTTCTTGCTGAGTATGAAGATATGAAGAGTACGTTGCAGTACACCCAGTCACCCAGCAGGGGTGTGAGGGTTGCTGCAGACGATGAAACGCCTGTGGCCGTAGGGCTTGTTCCGAGAATTGCTCACACAGCTGCCTGGGAGAGGTCGGATCATTTTGATCCTCCTGGTTTCCGGGATTACCCGATGTGATGTACACAGGGTTTAGGGTTTAGGCTTTAGGGTTATCGTGAAAGTTAGGTCCGTCTTCCTGCGATGGACCTGCCTTATCATTGTAACTCGGATCATCGCGCTCGTAGTTGTGCACACGAGCCTGAAAGCAGATGTCAACGCCACGCTCATTGCATATGTCTTCTAGTAGTGGTCGTAGCACACGTGTATCAACGTCACAGTCTCCGTTACTGTGACCATGTGGAGCTAGAGGAATCCGCCCGTTTACCCAACAGAAATGGACGGTGTGACCCGACAATCAACCAAGGTCGAACGTTTCTATCTCCCTTGACCTTTGCAAGAGCTTCTTTTAGCCATGAAATCTGTGGTTGTTAGGCTTGGTTTGAAGGGTTAAACCCTAAACCATAAACCCTAAACCCCAAACCCTAAACCCTAAACTCCAAACCCCAAGCCCGAAACCTTTAGGGTTTTGGTCTTAGCAACCCTGAGCCACAGCGCACCTCGTGCCACGCCAGGAAGGGCATGCCGCATGGGCCCAGATAGTTGGCCTGCCGAGGGGGACACCTGTAATCTATGCTGGGTTTAGGGTTTAGGGTTTAGGGTTTAGGGTTTAGGGTTTAGGGTTTAGGGTTGGGAGCCCCTAAGAGCCAGGTTTCTTTCAACATGGGGGGGGGGGGGGGGGGCGCAGAGAGATACGGCGACTGATGGTATACTGAAATTGTCGAGATCAACCCTGAGAGCAATCAACATCTTCAAGAACAGTTATGACAGTCGTAGTCCTAGTAGGGAGGGGGGGAATATGAGAGGGAGGGCATTGTGAGCAAGAGCCGCCACCGGAAGTTTGGAAGGGTTGGGGAGTTACGACGAGCTTCGATTGGGGCCTATATGGGGCTTAGGCTTAGGGTGTGGTGTTCGATGAGCTTCGATAGGGCCCCCGCTCATATTTTGGTACCCTAAATCCTAACCCCTAAAAACTTTGTTAGAGGCGCTGTACCGGGTACGTAGTCAGAACAAAACACCATAACTTTGCACTACAATTCGCAAAATAGAACTAACATGATGTATATTGTTCTTTGCACAGTCCGTAAGAATACAGGCCCTAGCCCAGAAAGTTTAGAACCCCCCCCCCCCCCCCGCCCCTGCTTTGAGAATCTACGCCGTCCAAGCCTCAATGCAGTGCGTGGCGGGTGGGGTGGGAGGCGGCAGGGGCCGGGTGTAAT